GCCGGTGGGCGGACTAGTTGCGACTAGTTCGCGTTTCACGGCTTTTTCGGTTTTTTGCGGTTTTGTAAAACGATTCTCGGATTTCATAAAATGACTTTTTAGTTTTATAAAAACGATCTTCGAGTTTTATAAAATGATCCTCGAGTTTATAAAACGGTTTCTCGAGTTTTATAAAGCGATTCTCGAGTTTTATAAAACGGCTCTCGAGTTTTATAAAACGATTCTCGAGTTTTATAAAACGATTCTCGAGTTTTATAAAACGATTCTCGAGCTTTATAAAATGGTTTTTCTCGAGTTTTATAAAACGATTCTCGAGTTTTATAAAACGATTCTCAAGCTTTATAAAACGATTTCTTGAGCTTTATAAAACGATTCTCGAGCTTTATAAAACGATTCTCGAGTTTTATAAAACGATTCTCGAGTTTTATAAAACGATTCTCGAGTTTTATAAAACGATTCTCGAGTTTTATAAAATGAATCTTCGAGTTTTATAAAACGATTCTCGAGTTTTATAAAACGATTCTCAAGTTTTATAAAACGATTCTTCGAGTTTTATAAAACGATTCTCGAATTTTATAAAACGATTCTCGAGCTTTATAAAACGATTCTTCGAGTTTTATAAAACGATTCTCGAGTTTTATAAAACGATTCTGAGTTTTATAAAATCACTTTTGCGGAAAGTAATGATCTCCCTTTTACAGAACATATCGCAGACGTTGATTTCGAGAGTACGGTTTTCGACACCAACAGTCGCGTTCGATTTGCAACCGGTTATTCGGATGCGGAAGCTGTTCTACGGGCGCATGGTGATTATCGCGAATGTCGCGGGGTCGTTCATGGGTTATCCCTGACTCAGAATGAAGGGTATTCGTTTGCTAAGGAATCCCAAGTGCGATGGGAAGATTTGAATTGGGAAAAAGATACGCAGTCCGAGTTTTTCGACCTTAAGGCGCGTATGTGGGATCAATGGAATCCCGTCGTGGTGTCGCCGGATTCGGTTGAAGTCG